AACTAACAATCAGGCTGAGTATGAAGCGGTTCTCAAGGGGTTACAATTGCTTAAAGAGGTTGAAGCCGATGCTGTCGAAATTATGGGTGATTCCTTGTTGGTGATCAGTCAATTGGCAGGAGAATATGAATGCAAGAATGATACATTGATGGTCTACAATGAGAAATGCCGGGAGTTGATGGATGGATTTCGGCTGGTGATTTTAAAGCATGTGTCTCGAGAGCAAAATGTTGAAGCTAATGATTTGGCTCAAGGGGCATCGGGGTATAAGCCGATGATAAAGGATATCAATGTAGAAGTCGCCACGGTATTAGCCGATGATTGGAGGTATGTTGTGTGTAAGCTATATTATCGGACGATTGATGGAGTGTTGCCTAAATGTTTGAGTGCCGATCAAGCTAAGGTTGCGATAGGCGAGGTACATGAAGGAATTTGTGGTACTCATCAATCGGCTCAAAAGATGAAGTGGTTGCTTCGGCGTGCAGGATATTTTTGGCCGACAATGTTGGAAGATTGTTTCAGATATTACAAGGGATGTCAGGATTGTCAGAAGTTTGGAGCAATTCAGAGGGCACCAGCGTCGGCTATGAACCTTATCATCAAGCCATGGCCATTCAGAGGTTGGGGAATTCATATGATCAGCATGATTAATCCACCCTCGAACAAGAGACACAAGTTTATATTGGTGGCAACCGATTACTTTACCAAGTGGATAGAGACGATTCATTTGAAGAAGGTTGATTCCGGAGATGCTATACAATTTGTTCAAGAGCATATACTATATCGCTTTGGTATTCCTCAGACCATTACAACCGATCAAGGCTCAATCTTTGTATCCGATGAGTTTGTTCAGTTTGCTGATAGCATGGGTATTAAGTTATTAAATTCTTCTCTATACTATGCACAAGCCAATGGGCAAGCCGAGGCATCTAACAAAAGTTTGATCAAGTTGATTAAGAGAAAGATCTCTGATTATCCTCGGCAATGGCATACAAGGTTGGCTGAAGCATTGTGGTCCTATCGGATGGCTTGCCATGGATCGATCCAAGTTCCTCCTTATAAGATTGTTTATGGACATGAAGCAGTTTTACCATGCATGGGAAGCTAGAATCGGCTCAAGGAGAACAGATTTGCAGAATGAGTTGACAGCCGATGAATATTATAATTTCATGGCCGATGAAAGGGAAGATTTGGTTCAATCCAGATTGCGAGCTCTTGCAAAAGTTACTAAGGATAAAGAAAGGGTTGCTCTGCATTATAACAAGAAGGTGGTGCCTAAGACTTTTTCTGAGGGAGAGCTTGTTTGGAAGTTAATTCTGCCGATAGGAACTCGAGATAACAAATTCGGCAAATGGTCGCCAAATTGGAAGGGACCGTTTCAAATTTATAAAGTTGTCTCCAAAGGGGCTTATATGTTGCAAGGACTTGATGGAGAAGTTTATGGACGAGCACTTAATGGCATGTACTTGAAGAAATATTACCCAAGTGTTTGGGTCAATGCATGATCGGCTGGGTGTTGCTGATGCATGTTAGCCGGTGTGTTTGCATCGCCTTCAGATGGCCGATATAGTTATATCGCCCTTAGCACTTATCATAATCGACTGTGCTCTACCGATATATGACGGCCGATATGGTTATATCGCCCTTAGTTTTTTTTTCTTTCTTATCATAATCAGTTATGTTTTGCCGATGTATGATGGTTGATACTTGCTATATCACCCTTAGTCCAAATTATAATTTTGTCATTGCCTTCGTCATTGCAAAATTAGGGGGGCACATATATACAAAAGTTGCAATTTTTTGAGCAAATTGAGAAGTTATATTAATCGGCACAAAGGTTCAGTGATAGTCAAAGAGCAGTACCAAAGTTTCTTAGCCGATTACAAAAACTTTCTAAGTCCTATTACAAAGATGTTCATCCAGACAAGTAACGCTGGATAGCCGAAACAGCCCGTTGTCATATCTTGGGCATCGATTCCAGAAATGACCTTGAGAGACTTGGTCATATCAGCCAAATTCTTGATAGCCGATTTTAGCCTTGATTTCTGTTCTTCAACAGCATTGGGGAGATTGGCTAATTTCTACTTCTCCAAGTCTAGCTCGGCGTTACATTCTTCAAGCTGCGCTATGAGATCAATCTTGCGGGCTTCTAGCCAATCTATGTTAGACTGGATTGGCCCAACAGAGAGTTGATCAAGCTTGGCTTTCTCTTCATGCACAAGTTGCCGATTGGCTTGGATAGTGGCTTCAATATTCTTTCGCTCTCGCCGATCGGCTATCCTTTGATTAGCCTTTTCCAGCTTGAATTGATATTGCTCGAGGTACACAGCTGGAGAGATGGTGTTCACCAGATCATCCGGGACTAGGGCTTGAATTTCTACAAACCTTGCTCGGATTGATCCACAGTCAGCCACTAAGTTATCTAATGATGACTCTAGCCGATGAGATATATCTTCAAGAGTTCTTTTGACATCTTCATCTAGAGGGGCTAGAATCTTGCTTGTTGTTTCTTTTTCTGCTTCCTCATCAAAGTAATCCTTGATGTCAAAGGAGAACAGATCGGCTAAGACATGCAAGAGAGAAAATTGAAAACAGTTAAATATCAAACAAATTTAGCCGATTTAAGATTTATGACAATAAAAGACTTACTGGGATGGTTGGAGCGGCTGGTTGTTCTTCCTCCTCAATATTGTGGCTGCCTGCAGCTGATGGAGTGCGATCACTGGGCGTCGGCTGCACAGGAGGTGAAGGAGGAGGAGGAGGCTGAAAAGACAAGTGTTAACTAACATCGGTTATGATCAGAATTAAAGGATTTTACAGAGAGAATCTTACCGGTGGAGCTGGTTTAGATGGTGCTAGTGCCGATTTCTTCTTCACAGCAGTTTTCTTTTTCTGCAAATACAAGTTTTATAAACAATCGGCTGAGTAAAATGGGTGCAAGAGGTGATCAAGGTGAGTTGTTTACCCCTGAGAAATGGGCTGGAGCAGCAGGGTTTGGAGGAGTCTGTTTAGGTGAAGCCGATGGTGTTTTTTCTCCTACATCACTCAGTTCGGCTGCAGCTTGGTCGACATCGTCCTCGATCCCTTCTTCATCCAAGGCTTGTTCTATGGATGGGTCTAAGGTAGGCAAGTCATCGGTTGGCTTGGTCTTCTTCTTCTTGGGCTTTTTCTTTGGAGCCAGAGCCGATGGATCAATAGCCGATAATTTATTTTTCCTCTTCCTACCGGCATCAACTGGATCTCTCAGCTGCCCTTGAAGTAGACTTGAGGTCTTGGGGGCATGGTAGCCGATGACAGGGGGAGCTAGTCCACCTCCATTTGGGATGAGGCTCGGAGCATATTCTATGTCCTTGCCACTGTTGCTTTTGTGAGGAGGAGAGGATTCTGTTGTCTGCACAATAAAAGAAGGGATTGGTCAGGATACAAATCAGCTAACAGTTTTTCTTACAAAATTAACAAAGCAAAATATGTACCTGAGGGATGACATCCGGGATAGATCTGTCATGTACATGGAAGCCAGCTGATGGAATATGTGTTGCTTCCATTCACCCCACCATCTGTCAAAGTTTCTGCTCCTGAACCTTGCTAGCTCCATGTTGTCAATGCTGCCTAGAGGGGGTTGATGAGATCTCTCCTCTGCATTGGATCTTATCGGCAAAGTACAAGCCGATTGGTAGTTGCCCCATCCCAAATTGCCTGGCTGAGCTCATTGGATGATAGAACTCATAAGATACTTGTATGTTTCTCCCTTGATGGATGCCAACAGGAAGAATACATGGATTGATAGTAGCCGAGAAGACTTCTCTGGACTTATCAAATTTCTCAGAGTTGATGTCTTCAAATCTGATGTCTGATGGGAGATCAAAGTTCACTGAATCTTCGTATGGGAACCAGACTCGAGCATCTTTCTGGAAGCCATCATAGAAACTGCAGAACCAGTCCTTAAGCAGTTCAGCTGATAGCTTTGCTCCAGAACCGGCTGGTGTTGATGCAGCCTCTCCATATGACATGCATCGGCGGTGAGTAAGCTCTTCTCCATCATCATTTGTGATCGGCTCCAGACTTGGAAATTCAGCGTCTATCAAAGATGGCCGATTCACAGCCTTCATGACAACAAGGTTAAGCCATGTTAGCAGTAACCACCATGGTCCACCTGCACCTACTACTGAGCCTGTGGCTATCTTGGCCGATGCGTTGCTCAACATCTGATACAGATAGCCGAGGAGGATTTTACCCAAAGGAATTTGCTTCTTTGCTTCGAGGGCTTCAGCTAAGAATTGCCAGTTAGTAGTAGGACCACAGCTTGATCCACAGAATAGGAATTTCTCGAGCCACATTAAAAGAAAGGCTGTGTGCTCTCGAGGGGTGATAGATCTCTTGCCCATGTATACAGCAACATAGCCAGAACAGCCACCTATGCTCTTGGTCCCGAACTCGAATTGATTCTTGGTGTTCAAGTTCATGGGGTTAGCTGATGAAGTTACATCCAAACCAGTGATCATGATGACATCAAGAAGAGTGGGGGTCATCGGCCCTTGGTTGAATAGGAAGGCATTGAGGACATTGGACTAAAAATATGTTGCAGAGGCCATCAGGGGTTCATCCTTAGCCGAATTTGCCAAAGTAAAAGCAAGGGCTTGGCCGATTCCTAGTTCATCCCAGTGGACTTGCTTGCTAGCCGATACCATACGGACCAACTTTTCTTGGGAGAGGTTTTCTCAAGGGAAGGCCAAGACTTGAAAGTGTTTTTCCAATGACCTAGATTTGGGTTGGCCAATCTAAAGGGTATCCTATTTGTTTCGGCGATAATGAACTCAGTGGGGTCAGAATTGCCGATTGAACCAAGGAAGTATTGGTGCTCATGAGATAGGTTGGGAATTGCAACCAGATTGAAAAGATGCTACAAGTGCAAAAAAGAATAGAGAAGAAGAAAACAAGATGAGAACAGGGAGAAACCGATCTACTGCATAAGAAAGAAGATCTAGCCGATGGGCACGTACCTCTGCGTACTCAACTGTGGCGCGGCAGACGGGCTGGCGGAAGTCGACATCGCTGTGAGCGGAAGCTTGGCTAGAAGGGAAATCGCCTTGAAATCGCCTTGCGCACCGAGGGGATCGACGGAGAGAGAAAAGACAATTTGCTTAAGCGGTGAAAACGGAGGTAACGGTGTGAAATTTCTCGGGGGTGACGGTTAGTATTTAAAGCGTTGCAGTAACGATCGGAAAAACGGCAATGAGCGATATTCTTGGAGGAACAGATATAGCAAATCCGAAACATTACCAAATATTCCGGACTTGGAGGCATGTGTTAACAACCAAATTTGGTAATTCAAGCATCGGAGATGAAGATAAAACCAAAGCGGAATCCAAGATGGAGATCTGCTTAACACACGTGTTGATGAAAAAAACACGAGGCCTGGGAGATCTGCTTAACTCCAGTGCAGGTCCAAAACTCGCCTTCGGGTATGCTAGCGTGCCAGTTGATTTGATCCTGCAATCAACAAGAAATAAAGACAAAGAAATCGTGGTTAAATCCATAAACGATAGCCGATCGGCAAAGTGCCGATGACATATCATTTATCTTTGAGCCGATGTCATATATACATTGATCGGTAGTTATAAATAGATAATAAAGAACTAAATCTACTCGATCGGCTGTAGATATTAACAATATATAATCCTTATGTCGATATATACTTAAATCAAGTAATTGGGATAGATCGGTCGCCATAACGAGACAGTATAAATCACTTAGATTGAAATATATACTAACAACAAGACTATATATGTTCATAGCATAGCCGATCAGATAGATCTAGCATGTATCGGTTAATACTCCGATACCACTCTATGTTAAGATATTAGAGCAAGCAGAATATACCAAACAAAAGCCTAATATACTTAAATGCAATAAGATCTTGACATAAAGGGCAGATTTAACATGTCAGTAAAGCATATAAAGCAAATATAGTTAAATCAGGTCAGATCGGCTGAAACCTCGATACTACCCTAATCGGCAACCAAGAAGCAGGCTAGAGATTGAGATTCTAACCACGACTCATAAGATCAAACAACTGATGCAACTATAAGTATGAAAAGAAGGACAATATCTAGACAATCAAGCCATTGGAAGTTTCATAGAGTGGTGGATATCGTATATAAACTAAGCCAACATTGATATTTAACCTAATCGGCTGCCCTCTATTGACAGATGTTAGCCGATTGTAGATTAGATAGCAATATTGCAGAGATTATATAAAATATATGATAACTCGACGAATTACATAAACAAGATTAGAGTATCATAAAGATGGAATCACTAATCCCGAGAACGCAAGTCGTCATAACAAGTTTTACCTCTTGTTGAAGATCGAAACCGATGAGCTCAACCCGAAAGCAAGAACTCGTCGAAATAATCTAAAGCAAAAAGGGTGGCGATGCGCCGAGATTGTATTGAACGTGTGTTAATTAATTACATGGGGTTCGAGGTCTATTTATACCCGAGAATTACAAACTATGTCCATATCAGACATGACTCTTATCTCTAACAAACTCTAAGATACCATAAGTCTTTGCGGCAGACTTTTGCCAAACATATATCTAAAGAAATTACATAAAACATCCTAATTAATAGGTAGAATTGCCTTCTCAGGACTCTATCCATGCGTGGCAATCATCTTGAAGCATATCAACTCGACTCGATGTCGTACACCAAGTCGTATTGTCGGAATCGGCTGTATCACTTATCCAAGTCTGACTCGGACTTTGCCTATCCCAATCGTAGCCGATCCGGACTCCAGCCGATTCTTACTCTGTTTCCGCGACAATCCTCATCTTTGGTTTCGCTTCGATCTAATCTTCTTGTCCAATGCTGATATTACCAAATTTGGTCGTTAACACATGCCCCTCAAGTCCGGAATATTTGGTAATGTTTCTGAGTTGCAATATATCGGATCCGAGCAAGATTCGCACTCTGCCGTTTTCTAACCGTTATTCCAGCGCTTTAAATATTAGCCGTTGTCCCCGAGAAACTCACACCGTTTTCTTCCGTTTTTACCACCGAAGTAAACTTTACCCTCTCTCTGTCCTTCGATCCCTCCAACACACGAGGCGATCCCCAGGCGATTCCATCTCCGGCCAGATCTCCGCCCGCGGCGATGTCATCCTCCGCTAGTCCGTCTACCGCACCGTCGGCCGAGTATGCTGAGGTAAGTTCTCATCGGCTAGATCTCCTTTTCTCGCATCAGATTGATTTCCCCTTTCCTCATCTTGTTTTCTTCTTCTCTGTTCTTGTTCGCATCTGTAGCATCTGTCCAATCTGATTGCGATTCCAAGTCTATCGCACGAGGGACATTATTTCCTCGGTCCGATCGACATTCTAGACTCTACTGACTTCATCATCAGTGAAACCAATAGAATCCCCTTCAGATTAGCCAACCCTAATCTAGGTCACTGGAAGAATACCTTCAAGTCTTGGCCGACTCTCGAGAAAACCACCCCTGAGAAGAGTTGGACCACATAGTACAAGCGTATATCGGCTAGCAAGCAAATGCATTGGGACGAAATTGGAATTGGCCAAGCACTTGCCCTCACCATAGCAAATTCAGCCAAAGATGAACCCTTAATGGCTGCCGTCACCTACTTTTGGTCCAATACTATCAACGCCTTTTTGTTCAACCAAGGGCTGATGACACCAACTCTGATAGATATTACCATGATCACTGGTCTAGATGTATCCTCATCGGCTAATCCCATGAACCTGAACACCAAGAACCAATATGATTTCAGGACCAAAAGCATAGGTGGTTGGTCTGGTTATGTGGCGGCATATATGGGCCAAGGATCTATTACTCCTCGAGAACATGTGGCCTTTTTACTAATGTGGCTAGAAAAGTTTCTTTTCTGCGGATCCAGCTGTGGCCCTACAACCAACTGGCAGTTTGCAGCCGAAGCTCTTGAGTCAAAAAGAGAATTTCCTCTAGGCAAAATCCTCCTCGGCTACTTATACCAAATGCTGAACAGTGCATCGGCCAAAATAGCCGTTGGCTCGGTGGTTGGAGCGGGTGGACCATGGTGGTTGGTACAATCTTGGCTCAACTTAATGGTCATGAAAGTTGTCAATCGGCCATCAGTGACAGAAGCCGAATTCCCAAGGCTGGAGCCGATTGTAGAATATGATGGAGAAGAACGCACTCATCATAGATGCATGTCATACGGAGAATATGCATCCACACCAACCGATGCTGGAGCAAAACTATCAGCCGAACTGCTCAAAGATTGGTTTTGCAGTTTCTATGAGGGCTTTCAGAAAGATGCCCGAGTCTGGTTTCCCTATGAAGATTTAGCAGACATTGATCTCCCGTCGGACTTTAGATTTGAAGATATTAATCATGAAAGATACCAAAAGTCCAGGGAAGTTTTCTCAACTGCAATCAGCCCATGCATCCTACCTGTCGGCATTCATCAAGGAAGAAATATCCAAGTCTCTTATGAATTCTATCATCCAATGAGTTCAGCCAGACAACTTGGAATGAGCCAACTCCCAATCGGCTTATTTTTTGCTGATAAGATCTAGTACCGAGGAGAAATCTCATCAACCTTGATGATGGATCGGCTGCTCAATCTCCAAGGACCTCCTCTGGGCAGCATTGAAAATATCGAGCTGGCAGGATTCAAGAGCAAAAACTTTGACAGATGGTGGGGTGAATGGAAGCTGCATCTATTCCATCAACCGGCCTCGATGTACATGACATATATCTTCCCTAATGTTATACCTCAGGTAAACCTTGTCATTATTAATCTGAACAATCGTTAGCCGATTCGTAACTTGACTAATCTCTTATTTCTGTTTTTGCAGAAAACTGAATCTTTCCCTCCACATCAAAGCAACAGTGGCAAAGACATTGAATATGCCCCAGGTCTAATTCCTAATAGAGGTGGACCATCTCCTCCTGTCATCGGTTATCATGCCCCCAAGACTTCAACTCTTCTCCAAGACCTAATCAGAGAACCAGCTGATGCAGGCAAGAAGAGAAGAACCGGGTCATCGGCTGTGGACACATCGGCTCCAGCCCCAAAGAAGAAGGCCAAACTCAAGAAGCCTAAACCAACCGATGACCTGCCTGCCCTATATCCATCCATTGAACAAGCTCTGGATGAAGAAAAAATCGGCGAGGATGTTGATCAAGCCGCATATGAAGTAAGCGATACTGAAAGAACTCCATCGGCTTCACCTAAGCCAACTCCTCCAGCTCCTTCTGCCCCAGTCCATTTTTCAAAGGTAAGCAGCTTTCTTTTTGTAATCCATTCACTTATAGTCGATTACTCACGGATTTTATGTTTGAAGAAGAAGAAAATTGCTATAAAGGAGAAGTCAGCAGCACTAATTCCAAAACCGGCTCCACCAGTAAGATGTCTTCAATGCTTTCACTAGTTGATCTCGGCCGATTTCGTCTAACATTTGTCTCTTTTACAGCCTCCTCCTCCTCCTTTTTCCCCTGTACAACAATCATGGAGTGACCAAACTCCATCGGCTGTAGAGAGCCACCATATTGAAGAAGAAGAACAACCAACTGTTCCTACTATCCCAGTGAGTCTTGTCTATAAAAATCTTGAATCGGCCAAATAACTCATGTTGATACTCAACTGTTTTCAAATTCCTTCTTGCAGGCCTTAGCCGATCTGTTCTCTTTCGACATTAAAGACTATCTTGATGAAGAAATAGAAGAAGACACCACCAGCAAATCTTTAGCTTCCTTGCCTGATGATGTGAAGAAAACCCTTGAAGACATCTCTCATCGGCTAGAGGCATCATCACTAGACAACTTGGTGGTAAACTGTGGGCCGATTAGGACTCAGTTACACGAGATCAAAGCTCTAATCCCAGATGAGCTAGCCGATGTCCTTACTCCAGCTGTCTATCTTGAGCAGCACCAATTCAAGCTAAAAAAAGCCAAACTAAGATTAGCCGAACGTCGGGAGCATAAAGATATCAAAGCTACAATCCAAGCCAATCGGCAGCTTGTTCACGAAGAGAAGGCCACACTTGATC